GACCCACAGTGAAAGCCCAAGACATATTGGAGGTGTTTCCTAAAACAGGAAGCCTGCCCGGTGCTGTGAGTTGATGCCATGATTGCTTCTTTGAACTGGGAAGATGACTTCCCTAAGGGAACCATTATTTTTATCAAGGAAGTTGTAGTTTTCTGTCTGCTGGAGCTATGGAGGAATCTATAAATGACAGAGACCAAGCACAGTATCCCTGTACTCCCATTTTCCTCCTAGAAATATCTAAAAAGCAAAGCTGTAATTGTACACAACCATCAAGAAATGAGCAGACCCTGAAGATTTCGACACCAAAAGAATCTGAAAAACAGTATTTGTGTTTTGCCCCCATGCATTAAAAAAAATTCTAAACATAAAGGTCCTTCCTTTGACCCATCCCATTTCATGCTTTCTTTTCATTTTGGAGATGATTTTACCAAACTCAGCACATCTACTCTGAGGTCTGAGTAGCACCCTGTTCCGTGACTCACCCCTTCTAGAAAGTTGTTAGTGGGAAGCAATTACCCCAGATGGACCTGGGTACCTGGGAGAGCTCTGGGGATCATTTGCTGACAGTATTTTAGAAGCAAGAACAATGCAACTCCAACTCTCCAGAAGCCAGCGTCTCTACCCAGTTTCTAACTGATGTCTTCATGGCCCGATAAAAGATCAGATGTAGTATGAGGCATTGCCAAGGCATTACCAGGAGATGGTCCTCATTCATTCTGAAGGAAATGGGGCGGTTTCAAGATTCTCATGGCCCTTAGACAACAAATAGCTCACTTTGGAAGAGCTGTAGACTAAAGAGATGATCCCCACCAACACAGACCAATACATCTCTCAAGCCTTAGAAGATTATTAGGTTTGGAGTTCTGTTTTGTTTTTTAGATAAAAGTTTAGGAGCTGGAGAGATAGCCCAGCAATTAAGAGGACTTTCAGCCCTTGCTGAGGATGTGGGTTCAGTTCCCATCAACTACTTTAGGTGGCTCACAACTGCCTGTAATGGCAGTTTCAGGGAATCTGACGCCCCCATCTGGCCTCCACAGGTACTGAACTCATGTGCACAACCCTTCCCACCACACACAAGTATACTTTTAAAAATAAAGTGTTTTTAAAGTAAAGGCTTTCTATAAGTCCTACAGAACATTTTCTTTTCTTGTCCATGTAGTGCTAACCCAAGACTATTAAACTCTCTGACAGAAAAGAAAACTAAAACACATTTATAAACATAACCCATGACATAACTGCTAAGACTCAATAGAGAACACAGAACCAAAATAATACAACAATTGAAGAATGTTCAAATGTTTATTTCCATGTTAAAAATGATGAGTTACCCTGTGGTTAGAATATACCTTTATGCTGAAAAAATGAAGTCACTTTATTTCCGAAATAGTTCCAGTGTGGGGGGGGGGTAGGAAAAAATTCAGAAAGTACTGAAGAGTAAGATAAAATGTTCTGGAAGATTCCATCAACAATCCCAGCATGAGCCACACAATGTCCTTTCCAGGTTAGAATTCCTAATTGGGTGTATTTTTCAATGTCAGATCCCAACACATCCCCATCATCCATTTAAATATTGTTGAGCTGGATGTCTGTACACTTAAGAGCTACAGTTTCACATGCTTTTATTTTTTAATGTATTTATTCCAATACACTGTTCACAGTTTCATTATATTGCCTATATTACATACAAAAATATCTGCTGCCTGTATTTCAGCAAAGCTTTGTCCCACCATCCACCCTCTACATGACAGATGAGATGCATTACATTATATGAATATGGTTTTGATGGAGGAGAAAGGTACAATCCATAAACCATCTATGGTGTCATTTACAGAGACCTGAATGGAGAAATGTGACTCTCTTTTGATGACCAGAGCAGAAAACCCAATAGGATTTAGAAATACTGCCTGTGGTCACTACTGGGGACCAGGGGACTCCTCACTGATGGACACAGCCTCACTGTGGTCTCAACCCTTTCTTTTTAACTCTCTCTCTCTCTCTCTCTTTGCCCCCTCTCTGTCTCTCTCTGTCTCTGTCTGTCTCTCTCTCTCTCTCTCTTTCTCTCTCTCTCTCTCTCTCTCTCTCTCTCTCTCTTGTGTGTGTGTGTGTGTGTGTGTGTGTGTGTGTGTGTGTAGCATCTATATAGGCCAGAAGTCAACCTCAGATGACATTTCTCAGGCACTATTCACTTTCATATTGAGACAGGGTCCCGGACTGGGATCTGGAACTTCCCTATTAGGCAAGACTGACTGGAAAGGAAGCCTCGGGTCCCTCTCTGTCCCCACCTCCCCCATTCTGGGATTATAAGCATACACCACCATGCCTGAATGTGTATCTGTGTGCTGCATGTCGAATTCCAGCCCTCTGGCTTATGCAGCAAACTTTACCAACTGAGCTTGCTCTCTGTCTCTCTCTGTCTCTCTGTCTCTGTCTCTGTCTCTCTGTCTCTCTCTCTCTCTCTCTCTCTCTCTCTCTCTCTCTCTCTCTCTCTCTCTTGATCAGAAGACCCAAAGGTGGCTTCCTAAACCTGAAATGAGTTACAAATTTCTTTTCATCCATAGATATGGCCAAGGGTAAAATAAAAACAATGTATATCTTGGCTGCATTCATGTCTATAAATAGAAACTTTCTGCCTAGACACTAAGAATTGCCATAGTCTGGGTATGTACCCCGGCCAGTGTGGCAAACAGACAATTTTCTAACACTAGTTAGATGCTGCTCTTCTGGCCAAGGTTCCCACTGTATTTATGAATCTCTTGAATCCAGCACACCTACCATCCAGCTCCAGTTCTTCAGTGTGGCAACTACCTCTCGAGTTCTTATGCCTTGACCCCAACAGCATTACATGTAAATTCTGAAGAGTAACATCATTGTCTTTGAATCTCCTGGGTCACACTACCTTTGTCAGTCTAGTGTCTCAACCTCCCTCTGAATGTCCAAAGAACCTATAGCCTGCCATTCTCTCCTGACTCCCCAGGATAAATCTGAACACAAACATCATTCTTGTGGCAGAGCAAGGGACTTGATGATATATGTCTGGCTCAGGTTAAATAATCATAAATATGAAATATATCAAGAGTAATAATTTGGATAGCTCAGCCATGAAAACTTTAGTCTAGACCAATGCATAGCCCTGGGAAACTGGATTTTTAAGGCTTGAGGTTTATGCCATCTCCCCTATTCTAGTGCATGTGTTTTAGGGGCTAGCACAAACATCATAGCTGACTTGATGGAAAACTGTGAGATAGCCACAGTTTATGATCTGCAGGAAATGTTTAGAGCAGAGGATGCTTCTGTGACACTGTGATGCTGAGGCCTGTCCAAGCCGAATCTGAGAATGACTCTTTTGATTCCCACCAAATGCCTGAGTCCATGACTCCTTGGTATTCACACACGCAGAGATGTGGGTGCATGTACATATGCTGTGTCTGTACATATGTAACTGTGTGTCACATGTTAAAAGGGTCATTTCCCCTCACAACCTGCCACTTGACTTTGATTTGAACTGATGCTAGCCTAACACAACGACACAGAGAAATGTGCACTGAGGCCAATTCAGAGTGTGTCTAAGAGGCCCGTGGAGGCATCTTCAGCATGACGGTCAGCCCCTCCCTTTCTGCTTCAAGCATGTCAATCACAGGAAATTCTTACTCGTGTTGCCCCTGGTAATTTCCTGCTAAGCTCTAGGCAGGCCCAAGGCCCCATCTGACCAATAGGAGGCAGCCTGCTTTGTATGTCCTTGCTTCCAGGCAGGTGTCTCACTGTCGGTTCCCATTATTTCTGTGATAGGAGATAGGATTTTAAATGGCTCATAAAAGGAGTGGCACTTATCTGGAACTCTGCTGCCCTGCACAGGTGGTTTGGGGCTACCTGTCTCCACTCCACCCTTTCCAGAAGCAGTTGGCTAACTAGAGGGCTCTTAGCAGCAACAGAAATCAGCCAAGCTCACGTACTGCCCTCATCTCCTGGCTTCATTCTCTAGTCAAAGGTTTTGGGGGCCCTAGTAGTTTCAGTTCTTAGGAACCATTCTAAACACAGAAGCAAGTGAAGACAGTTCTAGAGGTTGAAGCACATGGCCTGCATGCCCAACCCTGTTTGTAAACACACTGCAGTGCTGGGGGTGTCAGAGACAGGAAGAATGTCTTAGAGGTCCTGTCATGGCTACAGGAGGATTGGCGGCCATGTTTCCAGCCAGGGCACACACAAAATGAGAGCAGAGGGATGAGAAGACACCTCCTCTGAGAGGCTCAGATAGCAGCCCTTTGACATCAGTGACTCCTGCATGTGCTTCCTGCTTTGGGCCTTTGAAAATCCCATTTTTATTGAGAGTTGACAATGACTCAGTTCACAATGAGGCATACTAGTCAAGTAGCTGGGTTTCTAGTTATATCATCATGATAAACAAAAATGTCACATTTTGCCAAGCCAAAATCCTTGCCTTTCTTGAGACTATTCATGATGCTTGTAAACAGCACTTTTACTGAAAATTATGCAAAAAATCTTTTTCACTTGCAACTTTGATTTAATACTATAGTTTGTTTGTACAGCTGATTTTGGACTCTGGAGCATTCATTTATTTATAGTTATGGATTTGGAAAAAAATCATTGCTTTCTTTACCAAAAGATTCTTGAGAGGTTTCTTCTCTGTCAAAGTGACATTTGAGGGTGTGTGGGTTTTTTTTTCAGTCATTGTATACATATTGCTAACTTGAAACATTGGGTTTTTTTAATCTGCAAAGTGGAGAGCTGAATATGAAGCTGATTCTTCATTTCTTTGCTGTATAGATCAATCCTGCGTTTTTTTTTTCTAGTTATGTGTATGTGTGTCTGTGTATGTGCACATGAGTGCAGTACCCATAGAGGCCAGAAGCGAGCATCAGAACCCATGAGGCTGGAGTTACAGAAGATTGTGAGCCACCATGTGGGTGCTGTGATCTGAACTCCAGATCCTGTACAACAGCAGCAAGTACTCTTAACCTCCAAGCCATCTCTCCAGCCCTTCAATCCTGCTTTTTATTTTAGTTTGAATAACACACTGTGTTGAGCACAAAGGACTTGTTTCCATACTGTGATGTTGGAGTCTCTACCCTCAGAACTGTACCCCCAGGAGATCCACAGATAAATAACAAGCAGACAATGAAAACAGATGTTTGTGACACAACTTTTCTCCAAATTTGTTAAACGTCATATGGAAAATGGTTTTTAAAAGAAAAAGGGAAAGAAAAAGCTCTCTCTTCTGGGTCTTCAGTAATACATCTGTCACTGAAATAGATAAGAAAGTCCAATGTCAAGAAGAAGGAGACAGAGCATGATAATATGTTGCTTAAACACTGTCCCCAGCAACAAAGTTTAAAAAAAAAAAAATAACATCCCGTGTGGAGACCTAGAACCAGCAGGACATGATGAGCCCCATTGAATAAAACTCATAGGAACATCAAACATAATTCTTCTTTGTATATTTCTGAAACAACCCCTCCCCCTCAAAAAATGCAAGGTCAAAAGAACAGGTGCAAGTCCAAATGTATATAAAAATAATGAGCCTCACTCCCAACAACTAAGAAAGCTACATTCAGTCATCTTCTGCCACAGAGATCCGAACTCAGGCCACGTGCGATGAGTGTTCACTGTGCTTTAAAAGGGCTAGGAATAGAAAAAAACCACCATCCATCCAGAATGTTCCTTATTACACACGGCCATTGGTCATGAGGTGACCAACAGTGTCTGTGGAGTCGTGTCTACTGCTGGCTGCTGGCCTCTGCATGTCTCCCATCCCTGGGAGCCACTGTGTTAGAGACATTGCCTAGCTAGAGCCCCAGCTCTCTAGACTGCTGGTACCCACTTAGAGAGGGATCCCTCCAGACCCCCCACCCTGACACTTTGTTGAGTCACCCCCTATTGCTGATCAGACCCACTGCTCCACCGTTCAGAAAACAGAAGGCATAAAGGTGAATACGAACTTAAGAAAGGACTTCACATCTGGTCCTGGAGTCTTTCCATATAGTCTCTGAAGTCCTGCGAGTCCCCCAGCCCCATATCTTGGCAGACCCACTTGATGCTGTCATCACTGTCAAACAGGATGGAGTTGGTGTATGGGCCCCCATCCTCAGGGAGGATGGTGGTGTAGGAAGTAAACTTGACTCTCTTCCTCTTTGGGCCGGAGGAACCCATGGGTTCGTTTTTCAGCTCTTTCTCATACACATAGTCAGGAGGTCTGAGCAGCTGACTATGGAAAGTCTTCTGGGAACTGCCATTCAGCAGGAAGTTCCTCTCCTCGAACTGCAGACCCCTGTCAATCATGGTTGTGCACTCCTCTGAGGGGAGAGTGATGTCCACGGGGTTCTCCAGAAGTTCTACCTCATTCCCAAGCCAGACCCAGTCGTGGGAATGGGGGATGTTGCCCTGCTCACTCACTGCAAACCTTTTGTGTCTATACTTCCAAGCAAATGCCACGCAGTTGATCAGGAAGACCAAGATAGCCAGACAGAATACACAGAGCAGAGCGTACATACCAATCTCCAGATCTGTTAAGCCCCTGGAGGTCATCGTGAGGTCACCGGGGTTATTGGATTCTGGTAACTTCCCTTGAGTGGGGAAGCTTGTGAAGGCATCTGCCCCGCCTTTGAGCAGCTTTCCTCCCATGGGAGACTGTGGGGTTGTGCTTTTGTTGGTCCTATCCTCATGGCCAACTGGTACACCATGGAACCACTCCTGGGCCGCCCGCTCCTGGCTTCCCTCACGCTCTATGGAATTGCTGAGGTGGCCTTTGTATTCCCGGTTTATGCCCTCGATGTCATTGCTGCCTCCTTGCTGCTCATGCATCCCAGGTTCAAACCTGACCTTGACGCTTCCTTTACCCACGGCAAGAGTACTCTTCCTCTTGTTCTTCTGACAAGATTCACTGATGGACATTTCAAGCTTGATCAGGGGCCCCTGTCCTTCGCCCTCCGCAACTACGATTGGCCATCTGGTCTGAAGGTTTGGCTGTACGGATACCACCATTTCATCCAAGGAGGAAACGGACACTGAGAAATCCTTGGGATCATAAATATCTAAAGGTGTTACTGAGCCGTCACTGAACAAAATCCAGGAACTGACTATGGCTTCCTAAGGAAAATGAAACCAGAGCACAGTATTATGACTGGGTTCCTTCAGACTTACAAACATGATTTCCTCTGGACATTATTGGCATCTACAGATAGAGGTGAATTTCTGTATGCGATGGTCTTAGCTCTTGCTATGCCTTGACCTTGCATCATTAACATACTATAGCCCCACTGACATGAGATGCCGGGAATGCACTTCAATGAATGCATGAGAGTAAATGAATTTATTGTATGCCTTCCCATGGAGTGTGACTTTGACCTTTATGGAGACACTCAGAAAGATCAGGTGATTTATCTGAATCAATTAGATGCAGCTAATCAGGTTACCATTCAAGATGACATCACTTTGAACACCCTTTATCAGGAAGTCAGTGCTGGGCCAGCAAAGCCACTCTAGGAGGAAGTCCTTGGTAAATGAGGTGGTGTGAGACTGGCTTGCTTGAATGGCACCATGCCCCTGTCTCCTTTAAAAATGTTTTGTGCATGTTTAGAGACACAGGGGAGCTTTAGCATTGGCAATACCTGCCATCAATAGGACAATCTGGTACCAATTAGCTGTTCTCGTCCAAGTAGCTGAAATGGAGTCTCCAAGCCTCGGAAAAAAAATCACCTTCTCTCTGTTTGGCAGGAGTGAGAACAGGGGATCCCTGGCATGGTTTAGTAGCAGCAATCCATGACTAGCACAGATCAGCCCATGGGAAAGCAAAGGACATAGGGAGAGGTCGATAAACCCTGAGTACTATCCTCAGAGACAGAGAGAAGCTGGATAAGAAGCAAGAAGGAGATTCAAGAGCTGCCAGGCCTGGCTGTGACACCTTTATAGCCTCCTGTGCAAGGATTCATAACCAAGGGCAGAGCTAACTTCATGCACAGAACATGGGCCCCTGGGAATCTCACCTGCTGCGGGGCTTGGAGAACATCCTGAGCCGCCACTGTAGAGATGATGGCCCTCTTGTCTGCCTTATGAGGCTGCAGGGAAAGGGACAGGCCAGCCACTAGTTGCACACCCAGCTCTGTGATGGTGACACGGTCATCCAGGACAATAACTGTCTTCTCAGCCAGGATGGAGTCAGAGAGAGGCGAGAGGACCTAAGAGAACAAGGCAGAAAGCTTATGACTGCCCCACAGGAACAGTTTTAACTCCGGGGCAGATAGGGCCATCAGTGACCCGTCTAGTATCCTGGTAAAGGAACACAGTGACAGGGTTTTAAGTGGGTCTGGGGTTGTTCAATAGCACAGACTGAAGACAATTGAAAAAAAGATCACCTTGGTTCATGTCTTTTGATGCCTATATGACAATGACTAGAATATATTTGTATTCAAAGGAAGAAGAGGGGTCAGGTTAGGACTCCTCGCTGAATGTTGGTACCTTGGTGATAGGTGTGGAGGAGATGAGACTTCCTCAACAGCTGTCTAGCAGTTTCTGAGCATGCTGGATTGGTGGCACAGTCTCCAAGGAAGTGGCATTCAACCTGGCTCTCAGTGCACATCCCCTCTAGTGGGCATCAATGATCACCACAGGCCATTTGGGTCATCACTGGATAAATCAGTTTGAGAGGCATTTTCTAAGCAGCTGTCCCTCCTAACAAACCTTTCGGTATACAGCTAGGGGTGCGAGCTAAATCCCAGAGGTAATACCTGGTAGGTGGAATTATTTCTAGAATATTCCCCCCAAAGAGTACTGCCTTCACTCATCCATGCACTTGTGAAAAAAAAATTAAAACTCATTCCCTGACTCTCCAATGTCACACAACACAGCCACCTGAAAGCCCAATGGGGCTGAATCACCCAGGGCACCCAGTGTAGTCACCAGAGCTCTTTGGGTTGGGTGGGGGAGACTGTGTTCCCAGACAGTGACACAGGGTGTCAGGGACACTCAGAGTCTCTACTGACAATGGAGGAGCTCCATAAGAAGGAACGCGCAGGGCTCCTGGCTGACAGGATCTGGGAAACAGGGGCCTCAGTGCTAGGAGCAGAAAGTTAAGCTCTCTCAAGAAGGGGAGAGAGATCTGGAGTAAGTTATTTCCCCAAATTCCCTGGTCACGGGCTACAGATATGCTGACTCTCATCTTGGGGTGTCATAAAGAGCCCAGTCAAACCCACCTAGTGTCCCAGCCTATAGAGTCATCACTGAAGAAATGAGTGTCATGTAAGGTATAAATCTGTGGTGGGTAGGGGAACCTGTAGCCATACCTGCTTAGGGGCTGGCTACAGATCTGCCTGACCATGCCTTCGAGGGCGTGGTCAGGATGACATAGAGTAAGAGTTTGAGTTGGCTGAGATTCGCTTTTAGTTTTCACCCCTTTTGGCTTGTGTACAGACTGCTGCCATGCCGGCTGACTAGGTCACTCTGTAAGTAAGGCTTTTCTCTATTAAATACCCTTAGATTTCTACTTGGCTCGTATTGGTAATTTCCCACTATATCTGGTGTCAGAAGTGGAATTATATTTCTACTTGGCTCTGTACTGGTAATTTCCCACTCTAGATGTAAACATGTGGTGTCTTGTGAAGTAGAAATAGAAGACAAATGCAGAATATAACCCAGTTTGTCCAACTGCACCAAAAATTAACCTTGGAAGCACCTAAAACGTGACTTAACTGTTATCAATAATATTTTAAATCAACATAAAAATTTCTGCATAATAATCTGACCAAACTTGGCAATAAAACGTTTTTGTTATGATATAATAGACGTTTCAACTATGGTCCTTCTTTATCTCTTATGAAAAATTGTACTTTTAAATTTCATTTTGTCTACTATTATGGGAGTAACATAGACAATGGTTAAACTATAAAGCTGAGGGTGGGTTTAGCTTTTAGGATGTTCACTAATCTACTCTGCTATGCAAAAAAAGTGAAGCACTGTGGCTAGCAAGATGGCACAATGAGTAAAGGTGCTTGCTGTGCAAGCCTGGTGACCTGAGTTCAATTCCCAGAACCCACATAAAGGTGGAACAGAAGAATTAATTCTACAAAAGGTGTCCTATGACCTGCAAATACCCACTCTCTGTGGCACCCTGCCCATGTACACACAATCACAATACAAATAAATAAAATTAATTTTTAAAAAATCTAAAAGCTCTCATCTCGAAGAAAGTCATTTCTGATACTGTTTATTTAATTTAGCTTTCTCTAGTAAAGGAGATATTTTCTATGCTCTAAACTGTGAAAGAATTTTTTATAAAATATTTTTGATAGCTTCAGGTAATGTATTTTGATCATATTCACTCTCTCCCCATCCTCCCAGGTCCACCCCCTTCCCCACCCAATCAACTTTATGTCCTCTTTATTGTTTTTTGTAATCCAAGTTTAACTTGTGCTAGCTGCCTATCACTGTGTGTGTGATCTCCACTGGAGTGTGATTGAGCTACCAGGGATCCTGTACTTAGAAAAAATAGACCCCTCCCAGCAACTATCGGGTGCCAAGAGCTTCCCCACCAGGGGTTGGGCCTTATGCCTACATACTTCATCCATGCTGGGATTCTGTCTGGCTTGAGCTTGCACACGTCTTCACATACTGTCTAACCACGGTGAGTTCATTTGTGCATCTGCCCTGTTGTGTCTGGAAAATACTGTTTCCTTGTCATTGCCCATGTTTTCTGAGTTCTGGGCTATAAAATTAGTGAACAGATTCTCCTGCACACAGGCTACACATGTGTAAATTGACTCAAACTGGTATGTGATGTGCACACATAGGGTACATGCACAGAGCTATATGACATTAGTTAACTGGAGAATCACTGATGTTAGAGGGAAAGGGGCAAAGACCCCCACACCCATACTGCCCCATAATACCTGCACGGTAGTGATGCCCGGTTCTCGCCCTGCCAGGATCCTGCCATCCTGTAATTGGGCAATTTTCGGTTCCTCCACCTTCACAAACTCGGTTACAAGGTTTGTGATGTCAAACTGCCAGTCAGGGCCCAGCATGTAGGTCAGCTGACCCAAGTCAGGTGACTCAGTTACAAACTGGGTGAGGACTCGCACCAGGGCATGCTGGTACTGGAGGGTGCACCCTCGCCCTTTCTTCTCCTCGTCTTCCTCATCATCACTCTCCCGGGTGGGCCTGCAGCACAAAGGAAGCAGAACAAATGAAGCCTCCTCCTTAGCAGGAAACCTTGCCAGGTTTTCTCCTACTAGGTCTCCTCATCTGTTGATTTATCCACTCATCCATTCACTCATCCAATGAATGAATGAATTCATCCATATCTCTCTCTCTCTCTCTCTCTCTCTCTCTCTCTCCTCTCTCTTCCTCCCCTCCTTCCATTTCCCCCTGCTCCTGTTAACAGCTCACCCAGAGAAATCTCTGTCTCTTCAATTCTAGAACCTTTCCTTTGAGAAGAACTTGCCCTGTGACCTCCCAGGGGAGGATTTTGTTGGCCACTCTGTGGAAGAAGACTGTGTCAGGAAGAACAAAGCGGCAACCATGACAAGTCCTGCGTGCAGAGTTAGACAGAGCACAGCCTGTTCTCCCACAGTGACCGCTGACAACCCTGTGCAGTGAGTCAGACTACCATGATCTCTGCCCCCTGTGACGGACAGACAGACCGACATCATGGTAGCCACACATACTTAACTCGTTCAACCTTCCCAAAACCTTGAGACTAAGGTTTAATTCTTATCCATATCTTACTGATAAGGAAACCAAGATGGGGAGAGTGGAAGCTCCTCAATCAAGGCCATGAAATTGGTCATCTGCAGAGGCAAAGCTAAGGCCAAGCTACCTGCCCCAATGTGTGCCTTCTCCTTTTCCAGGTTCCTCACAGTGGCTGTGGGCAAACCAAGCTTCACAGCACTCACCAAGTGACCCAACTGCCTTTGATTTCAGAAACAATTTGCTTTCCCCCTTAAGGTCTGAGGACAACAATAGGAAGGTATACAAGAACTCTCCAGCACAGTCTTGGAGTAGTTCTGGGTCCCCAAAGAGGCAGCAAGTTATCTTTAATAATACAAAAGATGGATTTGGAGGCACAAAAGGATGTAATGTGCAAAAACAGAGTGGTATTCTTGCTATGATTGCATGTGAAGTGTCCCACACAGGTTTGTGTGTCTGAATACCTGGTCCTCAGCAGGCTTGGGAGGTTGTGGAGCCCCAGAACCTAGCTGGAGGAAGTGGGGTTCTAGCACATTCTTGCTGTCAGTCCCAACTGCTTCCTGATTTCCCTTGCTGTGAACAAGCAGCCTTCTGCTCCCGCTGTCATGCCTTCCCCAACATGAGTCAAAACAACCCCTTCCTCACCCAGGTTGCTCTCATCACATATTTGGTCACAGCAACAAGAAAAGTAACTAATAAGTGGTAACAAGGCTGTTATCTTTTCATTTTCAGTCCTTCAGTACACATCACAGAGATAGCTTCTGTTTGGTGCATGAGTGTCATCTCGATGATTTCCAGACAGATCTCCCTTAGAGAAGAAACCCACACAGCCCCCCGACCCCGCCATGCAACATCAGCAGCGGCATTCAATAACATGTCCACGCTTTCTTCGTATTGCCTTTTAGAGTAAATGTATTTTATACTAAATGATAGTATTCAGTAATTTGTACTTGTGATGTGAATTTTCCCTTAACTAAATAGACAGAATTGAAAGGATACCTTAAGCATGCCAGACAGTCACACTACAATGGTTTGTGTAGATCATCAGTGTGACTCTCTGTCGTTTTTTAAGATCTACCCTTTGTCCTTTTATCTCAGAATTGTCAACATGATATGTTGTCATGCAGATTCCTTGGGTTTTGTCCCATTGACAGTTTCCTCGGTTGTTTGCTTCTGTATTCGTGTTTATTTTTGTCAGATTCGGTCAGTTTTCGTCATGCACTCTCAGCCCCACATTTGTTGTCCTCTCCCTAGATTCTAGTTCCAGGCATTTTAGACATTTTTGTCACTGTCCCACAAATGACTTGTGTTCTGCCCAGCTGATTTTTGGTTTTATTTAAACTGAGTTTTATCTTCCATCCTTGAGTTCATTGACCTTATTCTGCCATCCTTCCTGAGCCACTGAGCCTATCCACTCGCTGGGGGGTTTCACCTGTTACTTCTTGATGAGATCATTTACATTCTCATTGTTGCCCAGACTACTTAGGATTCTATAGTAAATACCCTGCGCATGCAAAGATAACTAATGATTTCAATACTACAGTCCACATGTTTTATATATTATGATTTTTAAAAACGCGGGTGCTGCTAGGAATCCACTTCAGTTAAATGTGTTCTGGTTTGGCACACAGGCTCTGGTTTCAATGGTGTTTTGGAGTTTAGAGGTCATCAATGGTGTTCTGGTCTTAGTAGTGTTCCTGACAGCCTGGCTCCCATTCTGTCCCTGCTGATTTTTCTCAAAGGGTAATGTGCCTCCCTTCCTCTTGCTCAAGGCAACAGGCAGAAGGTGTCAATCACACAGGGGGTATCACTTCACTATGCCGACCCTTCATGTTTCAGAGCAGGAGCTTGGCGTCTAGTCCTGGGCCTTTGTGGTACCCTAAGCCTATGTTTCAAGGCATGTCTGAGTTTCCCCATCACTCATCATCTGGAAAAGTTGATTGCTTCGACACCATTGGGTACCTGTTCCCTTCGGTTTAACAGCCGCTGCCTCTGTTTACCTCTCCTCTCAAATATAACTGTAAAAAGCAAGATGAATCCGAGGCACACACTCAACACTTTGCCTGGAAATCTCAGCTGCACAGACAGCTTTGCTTGCCTTCCATGCAACTTCAGGGCACCGCACACTGGCATTCTGTAGCAGCCAAACGAGGATCCATGTTCCCCATGCCCTCTGAACGCTCACCAGTGAGTGGTGGTTTCCAAATTCGCTCTTGTTCGGGATGATTTCTGTTTCCAACCAGGTGGTGGGAGCTTTCCCACAATGCTTCATGTAGTCAAGCTCATTGTCAACACCTTCACTACCCATGAATCTACAAAGAGTCTGCCAAAGGCCATTATGTTCCCCCAGATCCTTGCACCCTCCGCCCACCACCCGCTTCCAAAGACTCCCTCCCTGAGGTGTTGCAGCTGCACTCCAAAAGTGGGTAACAATATCTGGGTTACTTCCTTCCTTTGTGGTGTAACACAATGTCCACAAAGCTCACAGTTTAAAAACACCACTCATCTGCTTGCTTGCAGTACTGTGAGTCACAATCCAACCAGGCTCAAATGGCTCTGGAGTTCTGCGTAGAGACTCGGAGGCTGAAATCATGATGTCAGCCAGGCTCTGACAACAGGAAGCTGCTCGGGAAGAGTTCACATGTAGACAGTCAGGTTGGTTAAGGTATTGTAGTAATCAGTCTCTACAGTTAGCCTTGGGGGCCTCATGGCCTGTGTCCATCATGAAGGGGTCCTGGATCCTAACGGCCCCATCCGCTTTCCAAGGTGCATGATTCAATCCATCTTCAAAGCCAGCAAGTGGTACTCAGTCCCAGACCTCTCCAATGCCCTTCTACCACCAGCTGGAGGGGACACTCTGGCCCTCCTGGATCATCTCCACATCCTAAGATAGGTTTGGTGGTTGGCTGTAATTGCATCTGTGAAGTCTCCTTGGCGCAGCACCAGATTAACGCTCAACTGGATTTTTAGTTTCATTTCTGTTGCTGCCATAAGATACTCTGAGGGAAACCAACTTAGGGAAGAAAGGGTTGTTTTTGTCTCACAGTTCCAGAGGGAAATAGTCCATCATGGGGAGGAAGGCATGGCAACAAAGGCTAAAAAAAGAAGATGGCTGATCAGACTGTACACAATACTCAGAAATCAGAGTAGAGCAAGAACAGGAAGTGGGGTACACTCTCAAAGCCCCCCACCAGGGATATACATCCTCCAGAAAGCCTCCACCTCCTAAACTTTGCATAAACTTCCCAAACAACACCACCTACTGGGGCCTACTGTTCAAACACATGAGCCTGTGGAGGACAGTCTCATTCATGTGGGGGACATTCCCATCCAAACCACTACACCTGAATGAACAGCAGCTGGGGATCCTTGAGAGGAGTTTGATCTTAGGGCCTCCCCCTACAGCACACATCTTTTCTCTGAACTCCAGGTTTCTTCTAGTGCTGCTATTCCTAACTTATAGTTGAGGGAACTGCAGAATATGTAGGTGAAGTCACCAGGTCACATGGTGGTCACATGGGGGAAACCAAGGTTAAAACTCAAGCAGTCTCATTTCCAACCATACAGTCTTAACCATATGACACCTCACTCCATGCATGATGAGTGACAGTGAGGAAAGACACAGTAGGTGGCAAAGGAATGGACAGTGGCATGACAGACAGTGGGAAGTCGTTATGCTCTGAGTACCAGACTTTGTGCAGGTCCTTCCTAGATCTCACATCGCCTTCCTACATCCCAGAAACTGCTCTGTGAGGCTACCCAGTATCACCACTGGTGTTGCTACTATTGTCTTTGATGCAAATATACCCTCATGTCAAGCTGCTAGTAATTATCCAAGTCAGATCCTCAGGAGCCCGAGTCCAGAGCATGGCTGGAAGCCAAAGCCAGTCCATGACAACATCCCTCAGATGTTGTCTCCCACAGACACCTGGGCCCCCAGCAGCCTCTAACCCACAGCCGGGCCTCCTGTTGCTCACCTCCTGTTGGAGGCCACCGGGATCCTCCAGCCCTTGATCTGGCTCAGCTCTGTGTCTGAGATCTCTATCTGCAGCGGCAGGCGGGGCACCCAGACGGTGACCTCCACCTGGGAGGTGAAGTGCTGATGGGTGAAATTCACGATCGTGCCCACTTTGCTCTTCATCTCCTTCCCATTCACAAAGATGGAGTCACAGGTGTTGGAGACCTTGGGGGAAAGAACGACAACACAGAGACACATCAGCAAGAGACCAGCAGAAGTTCATGAACCTCGACAGTCTGATCTCTGAGGCACCAGAAGAGCAGGGTGGGTACAAAGAGTAATTTGTAGGCACTAATTAGTGACAAATAGCTGATAGATAGACTCCAGGAAAGCTGTTTTGTGTTACAAAATACTGACAAGTTCAGCCATAAACATAATTTAACAGAGTTGTGTAACCTCAGCTGCCTTTTGGGAGTGTGCTGTTTTCTTTATCTTACCCTTTCTTATGTGCTCAAACCACCACTAATCAAGCCCCAGGTGTATCTTATTCCACTCTTGTACTGCATTTGAAGATGCATAAAAGGTTTTAATGTTACTAAGAAAATGCTTTGTTCCGGCCATAAAATGGAGCATATGAAAAAAAAATCAAGAGGGCTCTGTACTAGATTAAAATCCTGGCTGAGTGTTCATGGAATGTGCTAGAAACACGGATGGAATTAATTCTGCAGATACTAAACTGCAATTCCCAACACTGGAGAGGAAGCAGCATTTCACAGTAGTCTCTTTCTCTGCACCTGGGGGCGCTATAGTTCACCCTCTCCTGTGGGGTCTTGTCAGACATGTCAGCTCCCTGTTTTGTCTCCCATTTCCTGGGCTAGCAAATAAGATGCTGGAGTCTTGTTCTCCATCAGGAAGTTCGAGGGAGGCACTGAGCAGTGAAGACTGCAAAGCACTGAGAATCAAAGACTATGAGGGACCTGTGATTTCATCTTGAGATAAGAAGACTAAGGTTTCAATGTGGTGTGACTGGCAGAGGCACACACTACTTCTGGGTGGGGGGGGCATGCACACATGAGCGCGCGCACACACACACACACACACACACACACACACACACGTAAGTAGAGGCCAGAGGTAAACTTGAAATGTCAGTCCATTCCTTAAGTACCATTTTGTGTTTTGTGACAGGGTGTCTTGTTACACTACAGAGCTCACTGATTTGGTGAGGCTGTCCAGCCTTTCAGCTCTTGGCATCTTCCTGCATCTTCCTTCCCAGAGTTTGGATCAAGCATACAGCACCACACCTGACTTTTCTGTATGGATGCTGAGGACTGAACTCAGGTCTTTGTGCTTATGGGTTAAGCACTTCACCAACTCAACCATCTCCTTGGCCCCTATTTGCAAATTATTATTCCATTGAAGGAATGATATCTAGAATAAAAAGGAACTTTAAAACTCAACTATAATGAAATGCCCCCACAAACAGCCCCCCATCAGCTTAGGACAGATTTGCTGTTCAGAGTAGCAGGTCATGAAGAGAAGGGCACCTTAGATGGCTAGGGTCTGAACGAGCAGTAAAGGGGCTTCAGACACAGCTTCAGTTACTCAGGGATGGGTATGATGGGAGGTTAGAGAATGTGTGGCAGAACACATCTGAATATGAGCACTAAACCCCACTCATATGCAGAACAGCTAAAGTACTATAGTTCAAATAACCTACTATGCATTTTATGAGTATCCAAAAGAGGGGAACTTGCAGGCTCCAACCACAGGGCAATGCTAATAAGATACAAATGGAGTTGTTAGATTTGTATTGGGGTGACCTACTCCACCACACACACACACACACACACACACACACACACACACACATGCACACACACAAACCACTATGTGTGAATTAATTTTTAAATGTTTAAGGAGGTGAAAATGCCTGAAGTTCTCATTTGACTGCATGCAAGTGTGAAATTACCATACACTTACCCACACATCTATACAACTAAAAGAACAACATTCCTAAAAGACAGCAATGAAGTGGTAGCTGATGTCTCTCTTGACATTACAATCCCAGCAAGGGGTTAAAACGGGGTCACTTCTCTTAACCGGTCAACTTTAGAAGAAAAGAATACTCTTTTCCAACTTTTTCTTTGCTTTTACAATGAGCCAAGAAAGCCAGCTGTCTTTCAGGACATGTTGGAGGGCATGTGTTGTTGAGCCCAGAATCAAGAAGAGAACAATTGGAATAAGGCTTCCACTTAGGGCAGGACATGGGACAGAGGACTGAGCTCTTAAATTCCATAGTGCCCGTGGTGCAGCATCTGACCTCCATCCATTAGATCCTCAGGAGGGGTGGAAGCCGGTCACAAAAGCCCTCCCCTTCTGCATGAGTGCTGAGCTGGGGGGAGTTGAGTTTCATGAGGTCATGCTATCCCCGCCCCCCTGGACTCTGCTCACTCTACACCAGAGAACATGGCATCCTACCTGAAGTCAACCCAAAGCAGACACCAGAGACTTTAACTGTTGTCACCTTCTTCCTGCCTCTAAGACTGGTCATCATCTCTAGGACTTTCCCAATTACCCCTTCCTAGAATCCAGACCTCAACTCTCCTGTGTTTGTAAGTAATCCCTGACCCTTCCTTGCCAGCTGGTACAGACCCATACGAAATCCCACCTCAAACCACTCTGATTGCATCCAACCGTTAGGGGCACATTGACTCTGGGAACTTCCATCTTAAAAACATAAATTGCATGGCTGAGGACAAAGACCCAAGATCAACTCCCAGAACTTATACAGACCCATACGAAATCCCACCTCAAACCACTCTGATTGCATCCAACCATTAGGGGCACATTGACTCTGGGAACTTCCATCTTAAAAACATAAATCGCATGGCTGAGGACAAAGACCCAAGATCAACTCCCAGAACTTCCAGTTTACTACAGGAAAATGAAGATAGACTAGAGAGATGGCTCCATGGTTAAGAGCTCTGGCTGTTCTTTCAGAAGACCCAGGTTAAGCTCACAGCACCCACGTGGAGGTTCTGACACCCTCTTCTGGCCTCCATGGGCATTGCACACACATGGTGCACATATATACATGCAGGCAAAATATACTTACACATAAAATTAAATATAAATAATAAAGTCTAAAAAGAGAAAGAGTTAGATGTGGTGGCATAGAGTCATAATCCCAGAGCTGTGGAGGGAGAGAAAGGAGGACTCCTGGGGCTTGCTGGCCAGCCAGACTAGTCTACTTGGCAAGTTCCAGGCAAAACAGAGCAGGGGGAAGAACAGGATGGCTCAGCAGGCAAAGGTAACTGCTGCCAAGCCTGGGCACCTGTGTTCACTTCACAAAGATAAACGCTCTCAAAGTGCCCTTGGTGGTTTTGCTGAGGCATACATGCACTGCTCTACATCTGTCCCCAAGACAGCAGAGGATGCTTAAGATGTGACTGTGCCTCAGCTGTTGCCCCGGCACCCCTTCCATCCATGATGCCATGGCAAGGGATGGGTATGGTGCCTAGTTAGGAAGGGATGGGTGGGTGAATCAGCAAGGTTCTCTTGCTAAGGCATGAAGAAACACGGAAGTCAGGCTGGGGAGTCAGCTCCATCCTACAGTGCTTGCTACACAAGTGTGAGGAAGAAGCCACAGCTAAAAACAGAATAGAATAAAATACTAAGAGCATTGTGCACATGCGGGTGACCCCAGTGTGAAGAAGATGGAGACAGGAGGATCTGAGAGCCACATCTAGCCTCCTTGCCAAGTTCCAGGCCAATGAGAAACCTTGTCTCCAAAACAAGTTGGACAGCACCTGAGGAATGATGTGCACGCACCTGTACACACCTATACTCAACAAAACACACATATGTGTACACACACACATATAATATGATAAAAAGAAAAAATTCATTCCATATATTATGGATGGAAAAGACACAGGGCTTGAGGCATGGGGACTCAAAGCTGATGATCACATATAACCTTGGAACTCCAGGACTCAGTGTGAAATCTAAATTCCCACTCTCATTATTCATCTATCTAAAGAAATTATTATGCAAATGGGTGCTTTGTCTGCATGTATGGGGGTGCACCACATGGGTGCAGTGCCTGAAGAGGCCAGAAGAGGGCATCAGATCCCCTGGAACTGGAGTCACAGATGGTTGTAAGCAGCCATGTGAGAGCTGGGAACTGAACTCAAATCCTCTGCAAGAGCAGCAAGTGCTCTTAACTGTCAGTCGACTCTCCAGCCCCCACCATTCATCTAAATGACACCTTCAGGGCTCTCTGAGCCCCAAGAGGAGCATCGAGAACCAAGTGCTATCCATTCTCATATAAAAAGAGCAGAGGCCAGGAGCATGGAGATTGGAAAAAGACTGAGCCAGTGTCACTTTCATCTTCCAGTGTGTGTAAAACAGCTTGTAAAATGTCATCTTGGGAAAGCTGCCTTTAGAGGTTAATATTTTTACTGTCAAGTTATTACACTTCTGCAACTCCATTATCTTGGGATAAAAGACACAAAAGGGAGCCTTGAGACACGGAAATGGCTCCTCAGGGAATCTTGGGAGTCACTCATTTCATTTCCCATTCACAACAGCAGGAAGGATGTAGGCTGAACCTACCATCCTGCACCTAGCCTGCTATTGGTCCACTAGGCTGTGAACAGGGAAGGGGTGATAGGTGGTCTGCTATGACCTTTTCCAACCCAAAGACTGTGCCTACACTACGGAATTAGAGAGACCACTGCTTACAAATATTCACAGAGAAATCCAGAGATTCCAGATTTAAACAGGCAGGGGATCAGTTGTCATAGAAACCAAACACTTTGTTGTAGATCTTGCTGCATGTTGCAAAATCTACTAAGATACAGCAGGGATGCAGATGGTGCTTATTTATTTATTTTTAATTTTTGAGTTCCTTTTAGCATGTGTTCACACACATGTACACATGCATATGGAAGGCAAAGAGCAACTTGAGATGGTCTGCTCTCTCCCTCCACCATGTGGATCCTGGGGACCAAATTAGGGTTGTCAGGCTTGGGGGCAAAAGCCTTCACTACTACAGACTAGCTTTTGCTTTCTAGAATACACAGATGGAATCAAGATAAACATTCTTGTCCCTGCTTTCTTCTATCACTATTTCAAGTTCAGTACTTGTTTCTGTCTGGCTGTATGGTGGCCCCAAGCTTTCTTTTGGCTCCTTCTAGCCAGAGCCATAGAGGAAGGTC